CCTATATGTAGAAAATGTTACATTTATATCACATCATGGATCACATATTGATCAGATGCTGCTGCTGACTGATCCATGATAAATGTAACAGTTGTCCTCCGACCTTCGAGGACAACTGAACGCAGCACAATGCATGGACCATAAACTACATCTCCCAGAATGCATGTTGATTATTTTACCCGTGAAATGATGGCCTCCCACCACTAGGTGGAGGTGCACAGAGTTCAAAAGTAGCTGAAGTATTTCCTCATGTTAAAGCTCCATTCAGCTGCATGTTCATTTGTAACTTTTGTTGCGAGCCTCTGGTTTCTCCTGTCCAAAACACTGGAGGAAAATCCCAAACGGCATTTACAAAATGAAAGCAGAGGAGGAGTCTCTATGTGTGGCCCTGTGATGGACTTGCGACCTGTCCAGGGTGTACCCCGCCCCTCGCACTGTGACTGCTGGATATGGGCACCAGTGACCCACGCGACCCTGAAAAGGAAGAAGCGTGTACAGAAAATGGATGGATGGATGGATGAAAGCAGAGGAGGAGTCTCTATGTGTGGCCCTGTGATGGACTTGCGACCTGTCCAGGGTGTACCCCGCCCCTCGCACTGTGACTGCTGGATATGGGCACCAGTGACCCACGCGACCCTGAAAAGGAAGAAGCGTGTACAGAAAATGGATGGATGGATGGATGAAAGCAGAGGAGGAGTAGAACGGTAGTATTCGACCCACAGATGTGTGTCTGGAGTCGAGCTGTAAATCCTCTTCTTGCCTGCTTTGATGGGCCTGATAATCAATGCACCAGGGAACGTCCAATCAATGCAGCTCACAGCGCTTCAGTGGCTTCTTTTAACCCACTCACCTCTCACTTTACAGAAAAGGAAAACTGCAATATAAAACAAATCCACCCCCCACACCCCGACACACACACACCCCGACACACACACACCCCGACACACACACACCCCGACACACACACACACACAACCTTTTATTTCTATCCTTATTAGGACCGCTCATTGACTTCCATTCATTTCAGTCATTTCTGTAGACCTTACCCTAAACCTAACCCAGAAATGGTTTTCAATTATTTTAGGACTGGTCTTTGGTCCCCAAACGGTTGCTGGTGTTTATACCAGAAATGGTCCAGTAACACTTTACAATAAGGTACACAAAAAAAACTGAGTAGTTACTCTTGGTGTCATTGTAATGTTTCAATCAAAAAAAATAAACAAAATAATAATAATAATAATAATAATAATAATAATAATAATAATAATAATAATAGACCATGAAGATCCCCTTTTTAAAGAGTTCCCTTTCGTTGTCACTTCCTGTTTCACTTTTGTCACAAGGAAAAAAATACTAAATAAATGCCCGGCATCATGTGACAAAATGGGTAATATCATGTCACACTTTTCGTATCTGTAGAAAATAGACGTCAGACTTATTAAACTTTCTATAAATCTGTTAAACTTTCAAATCCAGTTTGATTATTTTTCTTGTCTTCACCTGATTTTTTTTCAGGCACAAGAAGGACAAAAAGGGATTTGGTGGAGAAGTCATGTCAGCCCACTTCACTTCCGTTCCTCTTTGCTCCTCTCATCCGTCCTCGTCATGCACCGGAAAGTCTGGAGACAAGCTTGGAGCATTTCACTCAGAGCAGTCCAGTCTGTCAATTTGTCTGTCTGTCAGCTGGACCTATAAAAGTACTGTGGAAATGCACGCTTGCTACTGGTTTACTTGGAAATTTTAATTCAAAACGTATGTTATGATAAGATTTAAACGGAGCTCTCACTAATTGGAACATTATTTCAACAACATTTACTTCAAATATAAAAACAAAGACTGTAAAAATACTGTAGGATGTTTAGTTTTTATAATTTTTAAACTAAAAGTTTAAAAATATATTTTAACACGGACGGGGCCATTTTATTTGCACACAAAGCATTCTGGGTAAATGATGACGTGGATAGGTCCTCGGTGCGAGGCTGCTAGCGAGCTATATCCACCCTGAAGGTTAATCTTGGACAATATCTGATGATCGACTCTTTTAAATGAAACCAGAGAGCGTTGACAGAGAGGAGAAGGTAGAAATGACTCAGCCTGGAACTGAAAATGTGGATGGAGGACAACAGGTTAGCTTGTTTGTCGTGCTAGCGCCGAGCTAATATAAGGCAATATACTGTGAGGGCTAGCGCGAAGGCTAACAGGCTAATCTGAGGTTGTTCTTCCATGAAGCAGCTCTGTTGTCCTCCATCCATATTTTCAGTTCCAGGCTGAGTCATTTCTACCTTCTCCTCTCTGTCAACGCTCTCTGGTTTCATTTAAAAGAGTCGATCATCAGATATTGTCCAAGATTAACCTTCAGGTATAGCTTGCTTTGCTAGCAGCCTCGCACCGAGGACCTATCCACGTCATCATTTACCCAGAATGCTTTGTGTGCAAATAAAATGGCTTCGTCCATGTTAAAATATATTTTTAAAAATTTACAAAACTAAACATCCTACAGTATTTTTACAGTCTTTATTTTACAGTTAAAATAAATGTTTATCAAATAAAGTTTAATGTTACAACTAATCGTGGATCCCTTTAAATACACTACTAGTTTAATGTTTTTCTTCTCACTCCACTGGTTCCATGCATAATGGTGACTTTATCCACTGTTTGTAGACACCTCACAGAAAGCAAACAGATAAATTAAATTGATAAATTATGAAGACTTTGATTATACAAATGGGAACAAGCAGGTGCACAAAAAATACATGTGGAAATTGAACAATTTTGGAAGGAACAGAAGCACATTGTGGTATTTATAGAAGTAAAGTACGTCCACATGCAAGTATGCAGCAATCTGTTTGTTTCAGTTTATTATTAGTCCATTCATTCAGACCTCTGACCATTGATTCAGAAATGCCTCCTGATGGAAACTAATGAACCACTGGCAGCCCATTAGAATGGAAATGTGATGTTGCTGTGGTATAGACAACAGAAACAAGACACTGGTCACCGTGTAATGGGCGTACTTGTGGAGGGGGGAAAAACAAAAGAATGGCAGTTAGCCAACGAGGGATGGGGGGCTTGAAGAATGAGACGGGGGAGAGAGAGGACACGAACTCACAGAAAGTCACATTTCAGCTCACCGGTGGGATTGTGTTTAAACAGATCTGCTGCTGAGAGCCAGAGCTGAAACCTGCCTTTTTCTCATTAGCTCCACAGCGTTTCACTTCCTTCGCATCTAGATGACTTCTGAGAGGAAGTGGGGCGGGGCAAATACAACCCAGACGTAAAAACTGAGTGAGAATATAATGCAGATATCTATTTCTTTTTATTTTTGTCTCAAACGTTGGCGTCTCGTTGATTTTGAGCATTTTTTTAGCGACACATAAACGGTGCAAATGTTTTAATAAACCTCTCAACTGGAAATTATTCCAGTGAGGATTAACAAACCAGACTTTGCGTGTATTTAATTGCTCGTTTGATGTTGAATTAATACCATTAAGGCCAAGAAGCATCTATGGAGGCCCCAAACACACATGCTAATCCAGAATGCTCTGTGTCACAGAGGAGAGGCTGAGTAATCTGTGTGTAAACTCAGATTAAGGAAGCGATCGATGATGCCTGCGTACTGCAGCTCCGAGACACATCTGATGTGAAATGTAGTCATCTTGAAGCGTCTCTCTCTCCTCAGCAGGCTGCTGCACTCATGTGACCTTGCCGAACACGATGATGAATGCACTCCAAAGGATTTTTTGTCTGTTTTTATGTGTAATACATTCTGCAATTCAAAACCTGCCGTCCTTGAGCCGATGTGGACAAATGAATCAGTTTAAAGTGTGGGTTGTAGAAAGCAGAACACTGACGGCTACGAGCTTCACAAAATCAGTTGAAGTGAATTTTTTTTCTTTTTTTGGATTTTCAATGAAAAGTCTGAAAGCCAACGCCATTTAACAGCTATTTATGTTGTTTCTGCTTTACAGATAAATAGATGGTGATATGTTTTCCTCTCAGGTTTATGCTGTTTTATTGGTAACTGTAAAACAAATATGTTGTGGTTTTTCTAGTTGAAATTTATGAAAAAAAAAAAACAGAAGAATCGAGTCAGTCAGGAAACTCTGTGAATCCTAATACTCAAATATTTGCACCAAATTCCAAAGCAGTCCATTCAGTTTTTTATTTATTTGTTTATTTATTTTGTTAAAACGGGAAAACAAATGTTAACTTTTAAAGTGTCTGTGACATGCAT